AGCCGTGGCATCTTGATACTGCTGATACTCAGATACAAGGTCGTTCATGTTGCTCTCTGCTTCCGTGAACTCCATCTCGTCCATGCCTTCACCTGTGTACCAATGCAAGAAAGCTTTCCTCCTGAACATAGCAGTGAACTGCTCGCTGACACGCCTGAACATCTCTTGAATCGATGTCGAGTTACCTATGAACGTTGAAGCCATCTTCAAACCTGTTGGGGGAATGTCACAGACAGTGGACTTGACATTATTCGGGATCCATTCCACAAAGTAGGAGGAGTTCTTGTTCTGCACATTTAGCATCTGTTCATCTACTTCTTTGGTGCTCATTTTGCCTCGGAACATAGCTGAAGCAGTGAGGTAACGACCGTGTCTTGGGTCAGCAGCACACATCATGTTCTTGGAGTCCCACATTTGCTGGGTCAGTTCTGGGACAGTGAGGTTACGGTACTGCTGAGATCCACGAGAGGTGAGAGGAGCAAATCCCACCATGAAGAAGTGAAGACGCGGGAAAGGAATCAAGTTCACAGCTAGCTTCCGGAGATCAGAGTTGAGTTGACCAGGGAACCTAAGGCAGCAGGTTACACCAGACATGGTTGCAGAGATCAAGTGGTTCAGATCACCAACTGCCCAATTCAGAAGACAACAAAAGTACATGTGAGTGAAGTTTTCAAAGCAGATTTAGTGAATACACAAAGGGGTCTTAACTGATGAAAACAAATTGAAACTTCAAGGAAGATTAGTCTCACTCTAACACATTAGCAAACCAATTGTCAAACCATATCGTTTTTCCTTATCGATTACATTACTTCATGATATATATATTTTCTTGAGTACTAACGAATAGCAAAAGCATAAAACAAGACAAGAGTAGAACCACAAACGCAGGATAACAACACTGATATTGACTGAAGAAGACTGGGATTACTTACAACTTGGAGTGCTAAGCTTGAGTGTACGGAAGCAAATGTCATACAAGGCTTCGTTGTCAAGAACCATACATTCATCAGCGTTCTCAACAAGCTGGTGCACGGATAGTGTTGCGTTGTATGGCTCCACAACTGTGTCAGACACCTTAGGAGATGGGAACACAGAGAATGTCAGCATCATACGGTCTGGGTACTCCTCCCTGATCTTCGATATCAACAAGGTTCCCATTCCAGAACCAGTTCCTCCTCCTAAGGAATGGCACACCTGAAATCCTGTATATCGAACAAAAGCAACCATGAGCGACGGAAACAAATCCCCAATTTCGTCATTACCAAAACCCTAACAGTTCAAAATCAGAAATCTAAGGTGTGAACCTGCAGATCTGAAACAATCAAACACTAGCCTAAGAACTATAGCGATGATGCACCTATATTGAGATCCACCAGAGAAAAAAAACCCTAACTAGGCAACACAAAATAAGAGACGCGGATTACAATACCTTGGAGACAGTCACAGTTCTCGGCCTCTTTGCGAACAACATCAAGGACCGAGTCAATAAGCTCAGCACCTTCGGTGTAATG